CGGGGCCTGCGCTCTCCCCATGCGCCACGTGCCCAGAGTGCAGGTGGTCAATCCGCGGCGCCCCCGGGGCCGGCGCCGCGCGTGCGCCACGTGCCCGGGGCCAGGCCAGCCCTGAGCACTTGGCGGGCGCAGACAAATGCCCCCGCGGGTGCCATAGCGCCCGCGGGCACTGTGTTGGGGACCACGGGTCTATAAGGTGCCAAGGGACTCCTTGTTGCTTTTGCAGATTCAGACTAACACGGCTACCCCTCTGATAACTGGAGTGTTGAGTCCAGTTGTAGGTACCATATTTCAAGAAAGATATGGACAAATTGGAGAAGGTCCAGAGAAGAGCAACAAAAATGTTTAAAGGTCTAGAAAACATGGCCTACAAGGGAAGACTGAAAGAATTGGGCTTGTTTAGTTGGTAAAAGAGAAGACTGAAAGGGCACATGATAGCAGTTTTCAGGTATCTAAAAGGATGTCACAGGGAAGAAGGGGGAAAATTGTTCTCCTTGGCCTCTGAGGATAGGACAAGAAGCTTAAATTGCAGCAAGGGAGGTTTAGGTTGGACATTAGGAAAACCTTCCTAACTGTCAGGTTGGTTAAACACTGGAATAAATTGCCTAGGGAGGTTGTGGAATCTCCATCACTGGGGATATTTAAGCGCAGGTTAGATAGACACCTGTCAGAGATGATATAGACCAGGGGTGGGCAATAATTTTTAAAAGGTGGCCACTTTAGAAAATTCTGAAGAGGCTCTGGGACACCCCGGATGGGGTAGGGCCTCAGGCAGAAGGGGTGGGGCCAGGAGACTTCTTGTGCTTCCCCCCCCACTCTGATTGGCCTGGGGGTGGGGGAGCATGAGAAGTCTTCCTCTTTCCTCCCCCCTCAGAGCGAAATGCCAGCTGTTTTAAAACAGCTGGCGGTTCCCTCAAGGCACCTAGTGGAAAGAGATCTTGTGTGATCTCCCTTTCCCCAGGCCAGTCAGGGCTTGGGGGTGGGGGAGTGCGCATAGTCCCCTTGCTCCTGCTAGAGTGCACAGCTAGAGAGTCATGCTGGCTGCCGGTGTGTGTCTTTTGCTGTTGCATGCCCCTGGCAAGGCAGGGACAGCATGCAGGATATTTCGCATGCTCCCCGCCCCAGGCCCTGCTTGGCATGGGAGTGGGGAGCACACACAACTCACCCCCCACCCCGCCAAAGGCATGCAGCAGCTAGAGATAAACGCTGGCTGTTTTAAAACAGCCGGTGTGTGTCTCTAGCTGCTGCATGCTTTTGTGGGGTCGAGGAGACTTTGTGCACTCCCCCGCTGTCAGACCCTGATTGGCCTAGCGGTTGGGTAGTGGCAGGGGGGCCGCAGGCCAGATCCACCAGCTTAGCAGGCCGAATCCGGCCCACGAAGGGTCCTTTGCCCACCCCGATATGGACTGTGCTTGGCCCTGCCATGAGGGCAGGGGACTGGACTTGATGATCTCTCAAGGTCCATTCCAGTTCTATGATTCTATTCAGTAAACACACTCAATATCTGCCTCCCCACTTGTTTCTTGGTAGTAATCCTGATAACATCAGAATGAATAATTCTGTAGTCAGTTAAAGGAACCCAAAGTGTGGTCTGGGGATCAAACACAGCCCCTGGAAGGTAGTCAGTTAAAGGAACCCAAAGTGTGGTCCGGGGATCAAACACAGCCCCTGGAAGCTTAAAACGCATTCTTTATCTTCCAAGCACAGTCGGTGGAAGTTAATGAGTCTAATAGTTAAGTTCATGTCTGCATTTCCTTTTTAATGGTTCTTCGTTTGCATAGCTGTTTTGTGGGTCACACTATTGTATTTAAAACACAAAACCATCTGTAATTAGCTGCTTTACCTGCAGATCAGCTGCTGGCTTTACTGAGCCAAAAAAAACAATTTCAATGACTATCTCCTGGAATTTTCAAGTTCTTTAAAATAGTTATCTGTCATTTTGTACATGGGTATCAGGCACTCTGAGCCCCCCTACTCTATATGCTTCATATTAGTAAAGCTGTAAAGTTTCCTATACTAAACAGTAACCACTTCTAGTGATCAAGAATTTCTTCTCCCATGACTCCCCCCCTTGTGTTTCTCCTTCACCTTCTCTAAAATAAGGGAAAATAAAGCAGGGAATAGTCTCCCTTTTTCAGACTTTTGAAGCTTTTGATGTTCAACACCACAAACTGTCTTAAAAGTTGTCTCACTAATTATGTCCTGAGTAAATATGTTCTTGAGCTTATTTGAGTTCGTTTGGAAAGGAAGGGCCTTGTCTCCAGGAGGAAGAGTGCCAGCAGGCTTATTTCTAGCAGTGGAAGATGCTGTTTGGCAGAAGGACTTGGAAATGTCAAGAGGTCTCAGTGCAAGACCATCAGGGCTTCCTCCTCTGTGAACAAATGACAACTGTGTTTACAAATAGTTCTCAGGCTGCGGTTGAGGGCCTGTTTTAAACACAGTTGTCACTACCATGGCTTGTTCTTCAGTGCTGATAGAGCCTCTGCATGCTGATAGAGCCCCTGCAGCTGTCTGTAACTTGTAACACCTGTTTCTGCTTCATATTATAGATAGAATCTTTTTTAATCATATCTGCAAATTGTTCTACAGCTTTGCAATAGAATGCTAAGTTACTTGTTAATCATTTTACAATACCTTGACAGAGGAATCTCAGAATTGGAATTTGGAAAAGATGCTGTATCTTAGTTTGGAAGATGGGTTATTTTTCCATCTTCACTGTAAGATAGAACTGTGTTAGTGTCTGTGGACTATGTGGTAATGAACTTCCCTTCCAGGCTTGACTTTCACAGTGTAGGTAGGGGCCTATATGCATTACAGTCTCTTATGTTAGTGATTTTTATCATACTCTGAATCCCATTCTCTCTGATGCACCAGCTGTTCTCTCAGCTTGGAGGGGATGCTCTTTACAACTTTGTGCCATTTTCAGAAGTGCTTTAAATTGTTACACTCCCTCCTTGTGGCATTATTTTTTCTCTCGTGTCCATCGATTTGGCCAGATCTAAATCCTGTATTAACACTTCTACATCTTTCCATTTTAAAATATGCTCTGTCTTGTGTTTTAATGATTATTAGTCAGTCGGCTGTCTGCTTGAAAATGCTAGAGAAGCATAACTAACTGATTGTATCAGAAGCTTGCATGTATGTCGTCTACATCTTCTACACTATTCTCACAGCTCTCTTCTACCTTGTTTGGTGGACTTGTCTGTCTACATTGTATCAAGCAGTGACAAAGGTTCTTGAGTGTTTCTTAACAGATTTTCCCTGACGAGAGATGCTTGTTGACAACTTTGTGTTGCTTTGGTAATAACATGGATCTCTTTGCTTAGGATAAGCAGCAGGAGAAGGAATGGGTGGGATATTTTCACAATTTGCCAGATTCACTGACTTCGTTGCTGGTGCTGCTGACTACTGCAAATAACCCTGACGGTGAGCAATCCATTCCAAAATCATTCTCATCTCCTCTCTTTTATTAACAACATAAAATAATTGATGGAATAGATTCCATTGCTTTCCTTAGTTTACTGTCTGACTTCTGTTAAATGATCTTTAACATTCTTGTTGTTGTTTCCTATAATGGTGCCTTCAGTGAGAAAACTATGTATGGATTGTTCCACATTTGTGTCCTTTTAACTCTTTTTAAAGCCTTTAAAGATTTTTCCAACTTCTGCCCCACTGACACAATTTAAGCTGTCGAAGTTGTGTTGACTTAAGCTATGACAATTACCCCAGCTACTCTGCCCCATGGTCTCCATTAGTACCAAGGATTTTAAGTATTAAATGTTTGTTTCTTTCAGGCTCAACATTCCTAATTCCCATTTGTTTTAAAACTTTTATACAGTGATGATTCCTGCATATTCTATTAATCGAGCCTATTCGATCTTCTTCATACTCTTCACTGTGTTGGGTAAGTCACCTGTTCTCTTTAGTAATGTAGGACTTGTACACACACTACCACTTGTGTCAGTATAATTTATGTCGCCCACTGGTGTGGATTAAGCTCTTGATGGGAGAAGTTCTTCCACCAACATAGCTAACACTTCTTATGGAGGTGCTTTTTTTTTATGTAGACAGGAGAGTTCTTGCCTATTGGCATAGAGTATCTTCACCAGACGTGCTACAGTCACACAGCTGCAGCACTTCTAGTGTATACTGTCCTGTAGCATACAAAGTTACTTGTTAATCATCATACTCTGATTAAGGAATTTTAGAATTAGAGTTTGGAAAAGCTGTTTTCATTGTTTCTGAAGATTTAGAACTACAGGCAGTCCCCGGGGGACGTACAAGATAGGGACTGTAGGTTTGTTCTTAAGTTGAATCTGTATGTAAGTTGGAACTGGCGTCAGCCGCTGCTGAAACTGATCAGTTTCAACCGTGGCTGAATCTGGATGCCAGTTCTGACTTACATACAGATTCAACTTAAGAAACCCAGGCGTCCCCAAGTCAGCTGCTGCTGAAACTGACCAGCGGCTGATTCCAGGAAGCTCGGGGCAGAGCAACTCTGCCTCGGGCTTCCGGTAGTCAGCCACTGATCAGTTTCAGCAGTGGCTGGATCC